GGGGGGGGTCTTCGACCTGAAAAATCAGGGGTTAGGATTTGCACCCGGTCGAAAGAAACCTTGCTATCGCAAGAGTAACTCCAGCTAGCTTCGCTAGCTTTCGTGAGAAGTAGAAACATTGGCTTGGCAGCCAAGATATTGAGCTGCACAAGCATCCGATCCACAAGAAGAATGCAACACATCCATTCAATCGCCAAAGCGGGACCCAAAATATGCATCTCTTGTGAACTATGAGACTCAGGAGCCGACCCTGCACGATACAGCGGTCTGATACCGTCGCCGCCATAAGCCAGGACGTCAAACCTTCGTCGCGCGCGGTCAATCCATGTCAAACCTCACTTTTAATGCTTGGTATTTGGACTTAAGCGGTTTGAACCCATTTTGCCACAATCGACGTCGCGCCTGTAAAGGTCCTGATTCCACTTGACGGCGAAACGCCTGCATTCCTCTGACGGTCCTGACTTGAACTCTCCTCGAGCCTGGAGCAGCTCTTGGGGACAGCAAAAGACAGAAAACTTCTGAAGGCAAAACACATAAGTCTAGTTACGTAGGTGATTTTTGTACTGTATGTGACACTGTCGAGTCAATAGCATGCTTGCGATGTCAACACTGCCCAAAATAATGGTGTGTCAGGTCGGGACGGTGCGCGCACGGGGTCCACAGTCAGCTGATGGGCACTTCGTGTCCCGGTCGTGTTTTGATGCTGTCCTGGTTGTGTTTGTTGAATCCAGGTCATATATTTGTGGTGCCTGAGAAACATTGTTGCAAGGCGGGGGGCTACAGGTTGGGGAAGATTTGCATGGATGTTCCTGCCAACAATAAACCTGTCTGGAGTAGTGGGAAAGGGGGGCAAGCGACTTACACAAGCATACCGGAACCCAACAAATATCGCATGTGACAGGTGGGTCGAGGCAAACTACCCGCTTTTTATGGTAGGTCTTCAAGCAATAGAGTTTAGACTCCAGATCCAACGAAATCGTGACTGTCGACTGTCGTTGCTGTGTCTGGCCATGTTGACCTTCGTTGTGGATCAAGATAAGGGTGAGGCAGCCGACTTTACTAAAGTCATTGTGCAATAGGACATAGTTGATGTCGCGTGTCAATTTTGGCAAAACGAGTGGCCCAATTGTGTTCCTGGATCCCCAAGTCGTGCGATCGCGATCTTACAAAATGCCGGCACACGCAAAGGGATCGCAAAACCTCTTGAACAGTCAGCCGCTTGGCACCACGTGCACAAGCAACCCCCGACCTGCTCTACAGGAACATCCTTTGCACCTCGGTATCCACTTCCAAACAATCAAACGTTAGATCACTGTTAACACTTCGACACAACCCTGGTTATCACTGCACGGGCCCCGCAACAAGAGCCCCGTCCACCCCGAAAGCACGTACTCGCAAAGCAGCACATCGAAAGGCATCAAGATTGATTCTTTATCCGGGGTTTGCAGTCCTTTGGTTGGAGGCTAGGGTTGGAGGCCATCGCTATCAGGTTGGAGGCCGTTGCTATTAGGTTGGAGGCCATTGCTATTGGGTTTGAAGTCGTTATATACCCCGGCCCCTATTTTCACCCTTCTCCTGCGAGTGGAGGATGTACGCAGCTCATCAGGTTTGTGCCAGTCTTGAAAGCTACACTTGGGGGGCATAGCCCTGCTCAATCACGATTTGGGGGTCATATTAATTTTGCTCACACAAGTCAACTTCGGCCACTTCTGTGCATGCGAATAGCATGTCTTCCCTTCCCCTTCCGAGCGCCTTCCGAGTGTTGCATATTCGGTCATGTGGATGCGGAGGATCTGTGTCCTTGCATGGCTGGAATTTCAGTGAAGGTTGGCTGCTTTTGACTATTCAGCCTGCTCAGCCCTCGGCTCGAGGATTTAAGATGAAAGAAGCATCAGATCTTTGCAGGTTTGGATTGCCGCCCTGCAGTGCTGTCGATGAGTTGCATCATTTACATTGGCTCTCTTGGAAAACGGTAGCATGCTCACTCGCAAGTCTTCGGTGCCTCGGGGGACTTTTTCATCATAGCCTGTGGCTCTCATGTGTGGGCCGTTGATGTCTTGATGTCTTCACAAAACACTCTCTCTCTCTCTCTCTCATGAGGTATTCATCAAAGTGTTTCAGTCTTCTCCATCGCTCTCGTACCTCCATCTTTGGGCGTCGGTATTGCTCCGCGTTGGCCGTTGATGTTGCATCCGCACGGACGCGACCCTCAAAACAGCACCAAGTGAAGGGTGGCAGTTGAAAATGCAGGAAGCACATCCAAAGTAAACGTTCACATCTCACACGATTCAGATTCTCAGAGTATTTGGCTCTTCTTGTAGCAAAACATTCTACCGCCTATCTGGATGCTGCACCTTCCGAGTCATGCTCTGCTGGAATAGCAGCTCATGATCTTGGCAACTTCCTCCACAACACAGAAGAATTGAAGAAAACAACCAAAGTTGCAAGGAGCAAGAACAGAAGCGACTCAAACAAGAGAGTGCTACGTATGACTGGTCCAATCCATATCCAAAGAAATTGGCCCAAAAGCAGAGTTCCCAACCTTGAGCATATTCTAGTGCCTGAGTGCAACCAGAGACCTATCTAAACTTCAGGTATAGGTCGTTGGCAGTTGAAGGCTTTCTTTCAAGCTGTGAGAATCTGCTACACTCTGTACTGTAGTAGGTGTTGAAAGTGTCCACTCAGCTCTTCAAAAGTTCAAAAAAAATAGACATGCTCTAAGTCTGGGACTTTCCGAACGCCAGGACTTTGCGCCTGAGGATAGTTGTGCTTTCCTTGGGTTGGCAGGCGACATAGTCCACAAAGGCTTGGGCGGTGAGTTGCTGAAAAGGGAACATGTAATGTATATATATATGTATATAAACAAAACAAACCATTATTTGATAAACCTTGCTATGCCTGCAGGTATAGCAGAATCAGGCAATGCCAACAAAAACTTGGTTCACACTCCAGTGTTCCAGTTGTAATCAGTATTCTCCAAGCGCGCCCACGAGTCACTATTCTCATCTAGTCCAAAACAACATTCTGAAATTGTTGCCTTCCTTGTTTCATACAGTGCTGCGGCAACTGAGCTGAGACGCACACCAACCTTAACTTTCACTGGGTCCTGAATTTTCATAGCTGGCTGTCTTTCATTCGCATGGCTGAAACTGCAACTGTTGACAGGTCTTCTCTGGATAAAAACTGAAGAAAAAACCGGGGTTAACCTATATACAATGATTTCTAGTCTTCAGTTCCAAAGAAACTGCCTCTCAATTCTGAGGGGGTGTCTCATGAAAGAATGCCCTTGAGCAAACGATTCGGGTACAACACCAAGAAAAAAACAAATGTTGTTTGACCACAAAGCCCTAGTCTGGGGCGGTCCGCAACGATGTTGTGAGTACAAGCATGCGTAGGCTGACCTGCCCGTCAACAGTACTTTTTGCATCTATGTAGGCCCTGGTAGCACTGAAAATGCCGCAGCACGATTCCACACCTGCTGCAGGTACATGAAAGGGTTGGCAGGCTGTGCAACCACATCCTGCCTTCGGACCAAACAAAACTGGACACATTGGAATTAAAATCAAAGCCAAATTAAAGCCAGCGGGACAACGTCCGGTCCGCTCAGATTCCAAACGCGCTGCCTTGTGCTTAGATGGACCAGGGTCTTCGTAGCTTTGCTTCTCCATTCGAAGAAGTTGTCGAGTGGCCAACCCTTAGGTAGCTGTTGCTACTAAAGTCATTCTGCAACTGAAGCGGGAAAAAGAAAGAGAGAGAGAGAGAGATAGGGAGGAAAAACAGGATAGATGAAAGAAAGAAAGAAAGAAAGAAAGCCTTCTTTTGCCTATTGGAAGTATGATTATGGTTCATCTCTTTTGCCGCTGGCTAAGCAGGTGACCCTCCCGCAGCCGAACCTCTGCCCGAACCACGCAGACGCAAAGTTCGAATCAAAATCGCGCTGCACTGCACTGGACTTTGATTTTCCACCAGTTGTTCAAATGATGCAAACCAAAAATGCCAAAAAAAATAGACTATTGAGCTTCTTGTTGCTCAGTGAAATCACACGAGCGACATAGCGCAACAGCTTTCTCAAAATACGGCTGGACATCCTTCCACTCTGATGCTTTAAAGACCTGAGTGAAGCAACCCCACGGTCAGTAAAAGCCGCAGACATCGGTCGGGTGGGCCTCGGAACTCGAATCGATTGACAATTTCAAGTACAACTAATATTTCAATTGAGCTACGTGCAATATTTCTAGTAGAAAGGTTGTAATCCCAACTTTACCATTTGTTTGGGGGTTTTGGTCGTAGCTCGAATTTTCTCTGTTGAACGGAACCAGGCGCTCCCCCCTGCCTCTCTTTTGGATTGCCAGCCACTGAGGAAGGCTGATTGGTCTCATTTTGCAAATCTGCCAAGCGGAAAATGATGAAAACATGATGAACAAATTATGATTTGGAAATATGCCCTTTGCCTTTGGCAGCGCAAGAATCGCACAACAAAACGAACAAAACACGATAAGAGAACTTCCAATCGCACGAATCTCAAGTACCCCACACGATGCCTTGCAAAAAGTGTGTTTCAGTTAGGAGCTCCATGTGCGTTTTGTCAATCTCCTGGGTCAAGATCTCTGGTGACAGGTCACAACTTGATCATGAGTTCGATTGATCACACGACCAAAAATGACTTCAAGGAAGCCAAGGAACCTGTTTGGCACGAATGCTCTCATGGTCGACTTCTTGAAAGTGCCCTGCCTCGCACCGTTTGCGGCCAGTGCCAACAATGGAGACGCATCTATTCTGCTTTAACGTTAGACAAAATGGAGACGCTCAACTTCCTGAGGGCCTTGCCATGGGCTGAGACTGACCGGAATGCCTTGGTCAACACTGCTATGTCTCCAGACCCAAATCACAGAGCTCTGACTAACAGAATCATCTGCACTGCGCACTGTGCCCCACACGCCAAATTCTCCACCCAGGCTGTCCAGACTTTGGGGTCTACCCGATTTCCGCACCTGAAGACGCAGAATCTACATAGAACCCAAAAACATAGCAGAATGAGTCATAATCACAGCACCTCAACTGAACCGAGACCCCAAACCCAAACAAGCTCTTGATCTTCGCTTGTGTGCTGTCGCCGCCGATGCTGCTTTCCATTGCAACCAAGGCAGTCCGCCTCTTCATCTTCGGCACAAGGGCTAAATCACTCTTCTGCTCGCCACAATCATGATGAACACAAAATGATACAAAATTGCAAACAAATACAAACAGTCCTTCTTTTCACCCAGCGACTGGTGCATATACATATATATTGTATTATTACATATATATTAATATTTAAAACGGTTTGACAACCAAGAGGCTACTTTATGTGTTCATCTTGTACCCTGCTTTTCAACAGTAAGAACGGCGGAGAGCACCTAGGTAGTTGTCTCTGGTTGTGCAATGATGATAAAACACTCTTGCATGCTGTGAAGCGGGAAACACGACCAAAGGGCATATCGTTGGTCGTCAACGAAGTGGTTTCTGTGCTCCTAGCATCCTGATTCTGCGGACCTCTGCATCGGAAAGTCCGATTGCCTAAGTTCGTTGCTCATGCACAACCAGATGCAACGTCAGCAATGCATGAACCAGTGCTCCTTTCAGGCCTCATTCAGACTCTAAAGTTCACAGTAAGACACTGGCTGTGAACAGAACAAAAGAGTTCAGTGGACTGTGTTGTAGCTATCAAATATGGGGCAAAGAATGTTCATTTTGGATAATGCACCGTCAAGAACCAATCGTGTCAGCCAAGCCACTTGGCTGGTGGGCCACTCTTCCTTGAAGTGCCACTACCACCAACAACAAGCCCTATTATTTCTCTATTTACCTTTCTATCTGCCTCACCATGAGAAGATCTATGTATATGTATATATATATACATCGATTCATACCTCACTATCAATCTAGGTCTCCAACATCTATCTATATCTATCCCTCCTTTTACCAATTTTACCTCTGTATATCTATATATATATATATATATATGCACTTGTATGAACCCTTTGCTCCGTACAGGCTGCTTTTTGGTCAAGTCAGCCCGTGCCCTATGACTGAAAAGGCAATGCAAGCCCCAGTAGACCTGTAGAGTGCTTGAAGCCGATTTACCCAAGCTCCTATGGCCCGGGAAGGTCGGGGGCAGAGAAGGTGGGAGCCGACACTTCGAGGGTTCAAAAGCGTGCATAACCCTGCTACAGCAGAAGACATGTACTTGTGTGAACCCTTTGCTCCGTACAGGCGCTTTTTGGTCAAATCAGCCCGCGCCGTGTGACTGAAAAGGGAATGCAAGCCCCGGTAGACATGTAGAGCGCTTCAAGCGCTCAAGCCGATTTACCCAAGCTCCTATGGCCCCTTTCCACGCGCTCCTGACTGGCTCAGTGACCAAAAGTGCCACGAACAGGGCTGGGGAGAAAGGGAGGGTAAGGTGAGTGGCTTCCGGGCTTGCAACGCCGAAGAGTAAAGAACTCTCGTTTCATAGGACAGGACCACCTTCCTTTATGGATATTTGGTCCATTGTGGTGTGACTTCTGCACGCTGTAAAGACACCACGCTTGGGACAGAGAAAGAGGTTAAAGGGAAAGCTAAAAACACAAGAAATATTTTTGGTCAGACTTCAAGTCAACCTCAGGTATGCGTCCCAAGAAGTCCTCGTTGAAGTACTTGAGAAAAGAGGTTGCGGTGTTAGGGGGAGGTAGACTCTGGGAGCTCTACCATTGTGTACCCCCCTTAGAACCATTGTTCTCTCAGTCTTTACCGCGAACCGGGTCAGGATATCTTTGTATTCCTTCCAGGGTACGTACTTGCGCTGAACCACAAACAAAATCAAGAGAGGCGCGTGTTCGTGGAGCAGATAAAATACACAACAGTTACTGCGGACAGTAGCTGGCCCCAAACTGAAGATATCCACCAAAGAAACTGTGGTAGAACCATTTTGAAGACATCAAAGGCCTCTTGGTACCTGACAACAACATTCTGTGAAACAATCAGGGCGCGCACCCTTACATCTTTTTCACTTGGAGCTCTGTGCTTCTTCTCTTGAAACTTCACGAAGCGCGTCGACTGGCTGCTTCTTTCGCCGGGTTTTCACCCAGCCAAGGACAGGAGAGATTCTTCCAGCCAACTGTAGTGCTCCATATTGTCGAAGAAGTCCATTCAGTACGTGTGACGAAGATCGCCCTTTCATGGCCAATGCGAGCGCAACCCGGCTGTCGACTAAGTGTAAAGTTCGACAGAAGACAAACTTTGGATATTGCAGCCTCCATGCTAAGCACAAGATCAAGGCCTTTAATTCCTGGACATCCTTCTTCTCTCGGGTCAAGAAAACATAACTCTGCCCTTCGTGCCACTGCCATCAGTATAGATGCCAGAGCCTCTATGTTCCTGCCTCTTGGCAAGCGCTGACACAAGCTTTGTGCTCAACTGCCTTTCAGCTTGCAAGAGCTGATCTTCTGTTAAACAAAACTCCAGGTTGCCATTCAGAGCCTTGAGTAGCTCCTCACCTGCCAGCCTCAGCGGCGCTTTCCTCATCTTCCTTGCGGTCCCTGCGGTTTTTCGTCGCTTCACTCGGACCTGCGCCTTCCTCAACTGCTTCCTCGACTTCCTGCTCCAGCTTGACCTCCACAAAACGTTGCATCGACTCTTCAACGTGGCTTTGCGCAATTTCCATTGGTCCTCTGATGCCCTTAAGCCTCATGGCTCCTAGGACTTGGTCCAACAAAATGGCCAAAGTGGTGACATGGAAAGCATAGCCCAGCGCTGCACACCTCACGTCCTCGGCCCCTGGTTCCTCGGTCAGCGTGGTAGGTGCCTTTTTCAGCAATGCCATTGTGTAGTGACGTGGGTAGCCCATGAGCACCTCCCTCTCTTCAGCCACCAGCGGTCTTTCCTCACATGCCTGAGTCTCGACCATGAACTCTTGAGCATAGGCTTGAAGAGGATATCTAAATTCATCTCTTGTCACCGAGCTTGAGCCTCTGGCGAAGCAGACCGAAGGCCAATATCATCAGCAGGAGGTTCTTTTCTCTTGATCGGCTTTGTGAATGTAGGGAACCTCAAGTTCTCATCCACCGATCCTCCCGGCCACTCACATTCTGGCCTCAGAAAGCTGATCAGCGGCTCTGCCTCAGCTCCCTTGATAATCAACTTGTCAAAAAGCTCATGAGTCTTCCAGTCGAAATACTCCTGCTCCGGAATCGATCGCGAGATCCAGTACATTCTTGGGCGACTGACTCGGCTGATGTCACCGCTTTCAACCATTACCGGCCTCATTTTTAGGGCCGTGCTCCAGGTCATCCAAAGCTGTCACAACATTCTCCATGAACTTCACTGTCCAGATGCCTCTTTCTTTTGTAACCTCATCAACCAGCTTGAAGACCCTCACGACGTCAAAGAAAAGCTTGTGGCCTGAATCGCCCGACTCTTCAGGCTCGCCACGCACGATTCCAAGGCTTTGACAAGGAGGGCCTTTTGCAACGATGATCCCTTGTGCGTTTGGGCACGTCTCAAATGCCCTTGCCAAGTCTTGTTTTCCAAACGCCTTGATGTCATTGACAATGTGCGTGGCCGGGCGGCGCCTCTTCAACAACCGCCTGCATTCTCTGTTCCTCTCAACAAAGACCGTGTAGTGTTTGCCAATGCCTGCTCTCTTGAGGGCTTCTTCAAGGCCACCAATGCCGGCGAACAAATCCACCACCAAAACAGATCCTGTCAATACAGTCGTATCGGTGACCCCGAGCTGGGGCTCACCACCAAGCAAGGCATCAGCTTGCTTTCTATCTGACCATGTCATCCCGGATGCATACATCATACCTCCACCCGTTTCCGAAGTGTCCGAGCATGTAACCACAGGATCCAGACGTGCCTTGAGGCTGGTCTGAGCCAGAGGAAGGAGACACTCAGACATCGGAAATTCCTGAAGCAAGGCAATCGTCCACTTGGTCTCTGCCCAGTCATCCAGGATGCTCAGAAACACACACTCTAAATTTGACAGCATGCATCTTCTAGCCTGGAGTAGATGGACAGCCTGACAGGCCCAGACCTGTAGGGCCTTCCTCGACAGTGACCTCAGTCCGACCACGTCCAAAGCCTTCTGGGTTGAAATCCGCAGGACACCATGCTTGTCATCAATGCAGGTATGGTGGGCCCGGAGGCATGGTGAAGTTGGTCGACGTGCTCCCAGGAAGTTTGGCCCCCCAGCTCCGTGAACCAGAGAAGCTCCTGCGTTTAGATCCGCCTGGAACGCCGCCGAAGCCCCGAGTCCACTGTTCGGATCGGGAATGGCCTTTAGTTGTGAAAGCGCTCATTGAGCGAGGCCTGGTGCGAGTGGTGGACAAAACTCCCAAGCTCGAAGCGCATTTCATGAGCAATGGGGCCTTTGGTGTGCCAAGAGTAAATGAGTTCACAGATAGTGGGCTCCCTGTGCTTCGTATCATCCTCGATTTGAGGGCAACGAATTTTGTGATGAAGCAGCTCAATGGGGATGGCTACAAGTTGACTGGGACATCAAGTCTTCAAAGGTTCATCCATGACGATGGAAAAGGCCTCCTGGTATCGGGCGAAGATCTCACTTCATCCTTTTTCCTTTTTGAGCTCCCGGACTGTTGGCCCGAGTACATGACGCTGGAAAAGCCAGTGATGCCTGAGGATATCGGGTTAAAGGGCAGCTCGCCTTTGTGGGTGGGCCTACGAGTGAGTGCAGGGAGCATTACGCAGGCTGCACTTCGGGAGCTGTCGCTGCGGGCTCCATCCCTGGGAGGCGCAGGACTCGACAAGTTGGCGGCGGTCACATCGGATGATAAATACCCTGAGTTACAAGCGGATCCACCATGGATAATGTTTGTTGATGATGCCATGTTGCTTGATCAGATCCACAAGGCCGTTGAAGCGTCGTTGGAAGGCCAGTCTGAACAGGTTCAAGAGCATCTTGGACGAGGCTATGCCTGGTTGGGAATCCCTGTGGATAAGGAGAAGGTCCGTTTTCAATACAACGAGGTTGGAAAGATGGACAACTCATCAATTTTGTTTACCCAGTCTGGCTCACATACTCTGGGCACGCCCTTGGGGCCTTTCTCATCGACAAAGATCTCAATCTGCTTCCAGATTTGAACCAACGCTTCCTCTTGGGCCTCACTGGCCGACGATCCAATTTGCGGCCCGTCTGGATGCCATGCATCACATTTATGGCCGCCACTGCTAAACCATGCCACAAGCATATGCCTTCATAACGAAGAACTTTGGAAGCTTTGCTACGAGTATCACCCCTTTCGCGCCAATCCCCAGGGCCTTCACGACTAACCTCCAACTTCTCGAAACGCTGAAGAACCTTGACTGCCGAAAACCATTGCGGGAGAGGCAACAGGCCACTCGGCGGGCCCGTGCTCTCTCGTGGGGGCTGAATTGACCATGACAGGCAGTCACCAAGGGGGGTCCCGCTTTTGAAAACTTGGATAGCCACATGACGAGCCAACTGAGCAGCGCTATAACCACCGGGGTACTCCTCAGCGAAAAAGTCTACACTTTCCTTAACCACCATGGGAATTGGTGATTTACAAGGCCACACAAACATGGAAACCTGCAAGGAGCCTATTACCGGGGAACACCGCGTAAGTTGGCTTGAACCACAATGTCCTTAAAAGACACTAACGTGGAAACATTTTGGTCAGGGGGAGGGTCATGAACCTGTATTTCTCTAGGAAAACCTAAGGTAGCTGGAAGAATAGGCCAACGCACTGGTTTCTAGGTTAGCGTTTTCAAGCTATTTTTAGTAAAAAATGCTCATCCTGAGAGTTGCCATGTTAGCGCCACCTGAGGCAGCTTCAGGAATTGGTCATTACACTGGTTTCTAGGTTAGCGTGTTGAAGCTGTGGTTCTTTACAAATAACATTAAAAATGCTCATCCTGAGAGTTGCCAGGTTAGCACAACCTGAGGCAGCTTGAGGAATTGGTCATTTCACTGGTTTCTAGGTTAGCGTGT